CTTTCTTAAAGATGAATTTGTAAAGCAGCTTTTATATAGTGTATAGTTCTCATAAAGGACATTTGGAAACTTTCTCAAGTAAAAAATTGAGTATTTATGTAAAAACATATCCACGTAGTTGTTTACACAAAACAGTGCCGAGTAAATTCACAGTAATGTTGTAGCAAAGTAAACTGTGTAAGAGAGGATGGCATTGTTTGCATCGCTATTTCCAAAAGTCAACTCTTGTCATAAAGCCTACCTACTTCAGACACTCTTTTTCCTGGGGAAAATTCAATTCTGCTGTAAGGTACAGAAAGACTCTCAAGCGTCTCAAGTGACAGAGAAAACAGTGGACCTGGTGGTTTTTGAATAAATTGGATTTCTTGATGGGGATGTCAAGATGAACATAGAGGAAACCTTTAAATCTAGGTGTGCCACAACCTAAAATAAAGATAGTTTTGAAACTATCTGTGAGATAGATGTCACTCTGGGAAGTATTTTGGGATGACAGGAGGCAATTTGACATGAGGAACAGAAGTAGCATCAGCCAGCACAATCTCAAGCGTGGAAGACTCATTCTCTAACAAGAGTTAGTACAATGTCAAAACTGCAGCTGAAGGGCTGCGTGCATGCCCTTGGCGAGGCAGAAAAGGTGACCTCTCCTCTCTTAGACAGCTAACTCTAGAATTCCTACTTCCTTCTCAAGTCTACCTAGCTGCCTGCTAGCACAGACGCACCATTGGTCACCTGCATGTGGAACGGCATAACCATCTTACAATGGCTGATGGAAGCCAAAAGAGGAAACGGGGCTTGGTGCATCAATGGGATATCATTTAAAACAACTTGTGCTTGGTTTTAAACCTAAAGGCATCCCTCCTGCATCTCAAATCTGTTTACATCTACAGGACTGAGGTATTCAGCGTGTAGGTTGGTTTGACTTTCATCTATGTATTAGCCTCCACTGGTTTTTTTTTTTTAATTTTCTTCTGTTTGGAGATTATAATACAATTACAATATTTCTGCCTTCCCTTTCCTCCCTCCAGACCCTCCCATACACTACTTCTTACTTACTCTCTTTCAAATTAACGACTTTTTATCATTAGTTATTATAGCTTGCAGATG